TATGTAAGCATGTACAGTGTGTGTTTATGTAGTATGTATGTATGTATATGTATAGATAGATAGGTACATAGAAAAAAAATTATATGTAGAGGTAGAGAGAAAGGTAGAGTATGTAATATATATATATATATATATATATATATATATATATATTATATATATATATATATATATATATATATATATATATATACATATATATATATATATATATATATATATATATATATATATATATATATATATATATATATATATGGATGGATAGATAGACTGATAAATGGATAGAGAGATGTAGACAGATATGATCTCGCGATTTCATCAAAACTTGTATGTGCGTGTTTGTTTCTATGCGCATATGTATGTATGTATGCATGTATGTATTGTATGACTGCATTTATATGTGGGTATTTGTTTCTATGCGCATATGTATGTATGCATGCATGTATGTATTGTATGCCTGCATTTATATGTGGGTATAGTTATAGAAAAGTAGATAGATGATAGATGAATAGATGGGCAAATAAATAAGTATGGGTAGATACAGGTAAAATATGTTTTTTATATATTGATGGATTGATAGATAAATGGATAGGTAGAGAGACAGGTATATAATGCACAGAAGCACATTGATAATTAGATGGGTAGATAGTTAAATCAGTAGATCTTGATAATTTACCACTTCTCCCCTCTTCCCCCATCTTACATCTTAAACTGAAATTAAACAAAGAGAGAATGGGCGCACTTTAGCCTGAAAAAAATAATATACCTATTATAATTGCTGTCACATGAATGAGATATCTTTTTAGAAGTCTTTAAGAAAAGAAAAGAAAAGAAAAGAAAAAAAGACGGAAGAAACTGCCGGAGTGAAAATAAAATAGGGATAATAATAAACAAAGGAATAGTAATAAAAGTAGTGACTGAGTAAAAGTCTTATTAGAATGGGTGAAGATGCGGGAAAGGGCTCGTACGTTCCCTTAGGTAAGCCAATCAAGTTCTTTTTGTACACCTGCTATTCATGGATGACGACTTTTTATGACTGGTTACTGTTCATGAACGACAGCTGTTTATGAATCACTACTGTTTATGAGTGACTACTTTTTATGAATGAATGGTTTTCGACATGTCTGATTACTGCACACGTTAGGTAGAACTCAGGTTATATACGATTATATATATATATATATATATATATATATATATATATATATATATATATATATAATATATGTGTGGTGTGTGTGTGTGTGTGTGTGTGTGTGTGTGTGTGTGTGTGTGTGTGTGTGTCTGTGTGTGAGTGAGTGAGTGAGTGAGTGAGTGATTGAGTGAGTGTGTGTAGTGTGTATGTATGTGTATATACGTTTGTATATATTTATATATATGTATGTGATTGTGTGTTGCACATACATACCTACACACACACACACACACACACACACACACACACACACACACACACACACACACACACACACACACACACACACATATATATATATATATATAATATATATATATATATATATATATATATATATCTTAATTTGATGACTATTCTATTTTTTGTGATGGCGGTATTTCTTGTTTTTTATTTCATTATTTTCTTTCTGTTGATGGAATTGCCAGTTCCTTAAATTAAAGCACTCTTATGCATCATCAAGACTGATCATGTATATTTACAAATTAGATAGAGAAGTATAGACTAACTTTAAACATCAGAAGATCAGCTGCGATGTCAGAAAAAAAAAGGATTTCAATTAAGCAGCAGCTCATACATAATACATCAAGGGAATAGGACAAACGAACTCACTTGCGCAATTGCACAGCGGAACGGAAGAGAGAGAAGGAAAATGGAAGTAAGCGACCTCACATCATAGGTTAGAAATGATAATAATAAAAAAAAAAAAAATGTTGCTCATAAAAAAGTAAAACACGTGAATGAACTTTATCAGAAAATGTAGATCTGGCCAACTAACAAAAAGGAACAATTGGTAATATCACCATGCAATGCTATCTGAACCACAAGAGGTAATAGGGTCGATACAGAGATTACGATTAAAGAGTGGTATTTACATTACATGTTTTTCGAAGGGTTACGACACCAGCAACAGCAGAGGATTAGATGAGCGTGCCATGCCTGGAGGATGGTTGTTTCCAAAGATAATAATATGTTTAAGTAATTACTAGAAACTGCTAAAGATACAGTTCCCATTATACCCAGTGTGTATACTACAAGTGTACCGTAATTGTACAATTATTTACAACAGGAAAGAAATTCCATGTTATAACTATTCAAATAAAAAACACGAGAACAAAGATTAATTTATACATGTAAAAGTTGTCTGAAAGAAGGAAAAAAATATATATTTCACCGATTTGACACCTGAGCCTGCGCACTGCCTGCTACCAACAATGGAAGTGAAATGGTAAAAGTGTTATCAATTCGAGTAAATAACTAAGAATTATTGTGATGTGTAGATAATTATATGTTATGAATATG